TGCACTGATTACCTATGCCACCTCTGTCCTTCGGCCACAGGAGAAGTCTTTGCTCTGGCCCCATGGCCGGCACTGCTTCCGCAAACTTTTTGCAAAACTGCTATGTCGCCTTGGATTTGCTGAAGATGACTATACCCCTTACTCCCTCAGAAGGGGTGGTGCGACATGGCATTTTCAATCCACGTTGAGCGTGGATGCTACAGTAGCTCGGGGGCGGTGGTCTTGCAGCAAGACCGCAAAGCAATATGTCATATGTGGGCGAAGGCACTTTCCAACTGGCGCAAGTCAACTTTACCGCCTTTCAGCGCGCGCAAGTGAAGGCGTGGAGGCTTGAATTTTTGCGGCTTCGCCAGGGATGCAGGAAGCGGAAGAGGTGAGGCCTAGTCTTTCTTTTTCTTCCTGCAGAGAAGTGCAGAGCTCATGAGCTCCAAAGGCAAGATCCTCTTGAGGATGTGCCGGAGGCCGAGAAGGGCCAAACAGTTTCACGAGGTTAACCGGCCAAGTGCGCCGTGTCCTCACTAGCAACTGTGAGGCACTCCTGAGAAAAAGGGAGTTCGCCGTAGAGAGAATAGGAGACATATATATATATATGCTTGCTTTCCATAAAGAAATCTATTTCAGCATGTCAAGGAAGAACCGCATTGCCAGAGGCTCCAGCTCTGCAAAGAGCAATCAACATACTCGCACAATTTAATTTAAAACCAACACATGTTTGCGAGCAGCATCATGGAGGGCCCCCAATCCAGGTACCCCATTTGGTACGTATTATTTAGCGACTCCCTTTGTATCCGTCGTGAGTAAAACACAACCAGAGTTTTTTCAGGGCCCTGTATATTAGTAGGATGATGGGGTCATCCATGCTCATATATATATATTATACTTGTTTCAACCACAATTGCACCATGACATTCAGGCCGAATCTTGCGTTCTCATTCTACCTTCTCCAGACTTCAAGGGTCTTGAAAGAGGGGTCTGCCAGAAGGGACAGATATGCCCGTGGCAGTAGTAGATTGAGAATGGAACCAAACTGTCACTTTGCCGTAGATTTGTCCAGTGTAGTGGGCCGGAGCTTTCCAAGTTTGAGAGTTTGACTATAAGAGTTAGCTAATATGGTTTGCCTGGTTGCCAGAAAGGTCCCTTGTCTCTCAGCGTCCTGCTGTTGTTGGCCATGACTTGGCCCAAGAAGCTTGTGTGGAGACGGATGCGACCAGAAAAATCAAAGTCAAGGCACACTACAAAGCCAGCCATATCACCAATACATCCAAACCACTCTTGGACCTATGCGATGTAGCTGCGGCCTTCGGCCTTTAGGTCTTGCTCCTTTGCAATGCAGAAAGGCTCCAAGATCCGGACACAGGTCTTTGAGGATGATGAATCTGGTGAAGAGCTTAAGCAGATAGACGTGGAGGGCGTTCTCCCGCAGGCACGAATGAAGTAATCTCTCTGAGCTGGGTTTCTGTGTTTTCAACAAATTGTCAGCTGAATGCGTTGAGCATTAGTGGGTTCGCTTGCCCGGCTGCTTGGGTTGTTCTATTGTTGCTTTCCCCTTTCTTTGCGCAACTTGACAACCTGGTTTGCTTGTAAACTTGTAAGCCTGTAGCACTGTATTTAATGAAGGTTGACAAAGCTTCAAATACGGTTGAAAGAAGCAAGCTGCTTTGACAGAGCAGTACGTATGTACCAGCAAGTTTTACTTTTAGAGTCTTAAGTATTCTTAAGTCAAGTGATTTGCTCGACAACCCCGAAAATGGTTTCTTGAGAAGCAGCCCGGTTGATAGAAACGTGGAAGCACATTGTTTCTGGGTACTGTGGCTGGCTTCCCATACACCCAAGTTTAGGCCACGAGTCACTACTCAGGTGTTTGCACATGGAGATGAGACGCAATCAGTGCAGTGTATGCCCAACAGCTCAAAGCAGGTCTCGAAGGTGAAGCGCCGCCGGGCCAAAGCAGGATATATAGATCCATTTGGTGGCTGATCGTCCCCGATAGTGCAGGTTTTCGATACAGGGATTGCGCCCTAAACTTAGGTTTTGAAGGCCCCTGAGTCCCTGAGGGCCAAAATCCACTGGAAAGAAACAACCATCAAGTTGGTGAAGTGTTTATATTACGTGCCCAGATGACATGCAAGTCCCGGTACCGAAAGTCCTTCGTGACCTACTTGGAGAGATTCTCACGACAGATCAAATGCACATACACTTCTGGTAAAGCTCAGAAGGAGCCATCATTGGCAGTGAGAAATCCGAAATGTTTTAACCCATTTGTCATACATCATTCGACGCAAAGCAAATTGTTCCTAAACTGCAAAACAACGTGTGAGACAACTTAAGCTCTACTAGTACTTAGAATCGCAGGAATTCGACACAACAGTTGTCATCAAAGCTTGAAAGAAAGCAGGTGCGTGAGGTTGGTCAGACCTCATATCCTGGCTACATTAGTGGAGCTTTGCCAAGTGACGTGCCCACTTGAAACAAACACAGCAAGTAGAACGTGAACACTTAAAGAGAGTTGAATTACAGCGCAAGAAAGCAGGAGACAGCGTTTAGACATGTTGAGACTACTTAGGTTCTGATTCTAGTGTCTGAGATAATTATGGCCTTTGTGCTGGTCGTGAGGTAAAGAGACATTTAAACGCTCACATGATTACGGCCTTTCATCCTCGTCGGGCATTCGGGCCATGTCACTTACTGAACCCCAGCGTAGGTCATGGTTGGTGCGTGCAATCAGCTTGCCAAGGCATACACAACGGAGTCGATTTTTTTTCTTTGCGGCTGCCCTGTGTTTTCAGGCGCGCCTTAAATGCATACGTCAAAAGAAGCTCTAGGCTCCAGGTAAACACTGTAGTTAGAAGTGACCAAGCCAAAGACTGCAAATCAGTTTACAACCTGCTTCCAAAAAGAACTGCAAAGTTAAGTTGAAAACTTCACACGGACCTGAAAAGCGCCTGGTTGCTGAATCCGAAAGTGGACACATGATGAAACATGCACAAACAGTCAAAAAGTCGGAGGGCGGTGATACGTGCAAAGAGTGATGTGCTTGGCAGGCAATAATCTAAAAAGTGGAAGTGTGTGAAAACTCCAAGAGCGCACAACATTGATTTAAGAGTTATACTGTTGATTGCGTTGGACATCAAGAGGTAGAAACATGTGAAAGGTTAGACACTTAACGAACAGCCATATTTAAATCCGAAAAAGAAAGAACACATCAACATGTCCAGCCGAACAGTGTGAAAAGTCCAAGATTTTTTACTTTTGATTGTTTTTACCTTTTTCAGGGGATTTCATTTTCGTTGTGAGGATGACCAACTGGCCACCTGCCTTGCTTGTTTGATTGTCACTAGCTGTGTCACGCTTCATTGCCGTTCAATTCAGTTGCATCACCTTGATCACAACTGATCCAGCGTCACCGCCTCGATTATAAGTAACCACTTCAAGAGAGGTCCAGATATTCCATTCGCACTCTGGAGCTGCCACCTCTCAAACAGGGATGCCAGCCTTGTTGTGAGAATTTCAGGATGAGCTTCTAGACTTTCAGAAGTTTAAGAAGACTGTTGCAAACTTATGATCACGGCTTGGCCAGACAACGAGGGCGCTCTCTGTGCTCAGTCCGGGCATCCTGAGGGACAACAAAGTGCAAGTCGTGGCCGTTTGAAGAGGCCTGAGTCCATCAATGCGGACCGATTTTAGCCAAATTTCACAAGCTCCGAACTCCAAAGTTCAAATCAGACTCGAAGCCCATTGAAGTCCATGAAAGGAATGGATGGCAAACCGAGACAAAGGCTGGCTATTTTGCTTTAACGTAGTCACAACGCAGGGGGTGGAATCTTATGACTCAGCAGCTGCGGTCCATGGCAGGTTGGATTCACGAAAGATACAAGTGAAAGCTCTGGATGGACGATAGTTGTGCTGAATGTATCCGTTATCCGAATATAGGAGAACTCTTTTCAGCCGAATAATACAGTTCAATTTCCCCAAAACAGTCAAAAAATGACACATGTCTATTGTCCACAAAACACTGAAGACCAGTGGACAAATTGCAAGTGGACATTTAACTTTATACAGTACAGCTAGTGCGGTGACCATTCTTTGCTGTGCACTCTTGCATATGGGTTTCAAATGGTTTCATGCAGATGTCAGAGGCAAGGAAGGACGCACAAGCAACATAGGTCAAACGTTTCGGTTCATCATTTTCCTGATTACCAGATGTACGTTACAGGTTAGTCTTACACAGCGAAGGCGGAGATGAAACTAACAGTTTTTTGTGGTGTCGGTCCATCTGTCAATTTCGTTTGTGGAATTGGACGAACTGTAGCGCTGTAGAACTTGCAGGCATGCATTATTATAATCATTTCAGGTGTCAGTTGTTCGATGTTGTTCGTGTAAAACTACAAATACATGTCCTTATAAGTTTGGCCAAGGGAACATGCATAATCTGTGTAATTAACCTTTTACATACTTGGTGCTACTCCGCCTGCTTACCATGATGCGTTGCCCAAGCCAGCCCGCCGAGGCAAACGTCGCGTGGAGACTGAACAGCAGGACACTCCATACGGCGTTTAGACGTTAGATTGCCACATTCATGTATGAGAAAGTGTAGCAGATAGAGTACAAGGAAAACAAGTTTTAGTATGACAGGTTTTTGTTTGGATATCGGTTTTCTGCACGGTCAGCTCCAGGACTACAACCTCAAAAATGCCTTGAAAAGCCCTCGGAACACTTTGTTTTTAAATATGGTTCCTCTATTCCACCTTTGCAGCGGGACATTCTACTTGGGCTAGGTTCACCCGTAATTACGATTCCTCTTCTGCGTGCAGTACCAAGACAAAGACCCTAGTTCCTATGCAGGCGGCGCAGCAGGTCAATTGCTGGCTCAAACCTGGAATACCTATAGAATTAAATGCATTTGTGAAATGATACACTAATTTGACATAGCTTAGTATGAGAGCCTTTGGAACCAACCATCAGAAAACAATTGTTTCCTGCAAGCGGGCCAGGACCTGGACATGCAGAAGCTCTTGGATGACTGCAATGGCTATCACAATGACTATTTTCAACCCAGTTTGTATACCATTATTGCAAATATTCTTGTTTTGATCACAAATCCAGTGTATCCAGTTTGGTGTGCATTTCATGCCTTGTGGAGTGCAAGAGTTGGATGCCAGAGTGGCAAATACTGGGAAGGCATTGCAGACAGATTGAAATCCAATGATTCTTTGAGGGTGGCTGTATTTGATTTTGGTTCGTCAATTTACGTGAACGTGAGCACAATAGCATGGTGTTTGGCAGGTGAGGATGGAAGACAGATATTTGCCACTGAAGTGTTGCTCCCAAGGTGGCTTGTACTAGGTACTTCATTGAGAATTGCAGCAGCACGGGACTTGCATCCAAAAGATTGGAAGGATTTGGTTGGTCAAGTGAACGACTACTGTGATTCTCGTGGTCCCTACAGTGGCTGTTGCCGCTTCGCTGGCAACAGAGAACGAGCATGTGCGAAAGGTTCACCAAAGGAGCCTGTTGATGAGCAATCTAGGGACCATGTCAGCATATTTTCCGAGCACACCCTCCAAAGAATCCTTATTGTGCTCAAAGTTCCCAAGATGCAGTCGGTTTACTTTCGCGTGTTTGAGTCGGAAATCGAATACGAATCCATGTTGCTGTCAGAACGCCTATGTCACCTTGCACACAAGTCCTTGCTGCGCCACCTCCGTCGTATCCAGGCCTTCCCAACTGAACTGGAGATGAGAATTGATCCCACAGACTCTACAAACCCTACAGAGGATATTATATCAAAGGATTTTATGTCAGTGTATCGCACGGCGTTTGAAAATAAAAAGATGCCGTTGGTGGTGCTGGCAGAGCAGATGCTGGTTGGCTGGCCAGCTGTTCAAAAAGGTCCACTCCACTACATCGGTATCGCAGCACGTCTTCTTCTGATCTTGCTGTCAATTGCCTTGTTCGTTTTTGGGGCGCTCTTTCCCGGTTTGCTACGACGCGGAGGGGGAGGATCGTTCCTGCCCCACAACACATGGTGCAAAGTTGTGGCAGTCATCTTCATGCTTACTCTTGGACAGACAGGCTGGCTGTTGGGCTGTGTCGCCCCTACGCAATTGCAGATGCTTTTCTCTAGTATGGCCAGGTCCTTTAGGGTGCTTAATTCGATGTTGATGGGGAAGCGTGCTGCCCAAGCAGAGTGCGTTCCCTACATACGCGTATGCAATATTGATGACATAGTAGCCTGGTACGAGCTGTATGCCTTGTTCATTGGAAGTGCTAGACGCGTGAAGTTTCCCTTGGAGGTTGGTTTTGCACATAATGTTTTGACCGTCGTGGGCATGTCGTCATTGCTCGTCTGGCATGGTATCGATCCTCTGTGGCAGCCTGGAGTGCCTTCGGAATTCTCAAGAAGGAAGCGCCGTTTTCTGGAATTTTCTTGGTCTTTTGATTGGTTCTGTTTGCTTTGTTCAGCGGTTCCCCCAAACATTTTCAGAGTCAGTACATCAAAGGTCTTGTTTGGTGCGACCATGGTCTTCTTCATCGCGTTTTTGGTTTTCTCAGTGCCTCCTTTGCTTGTGGGTCTCAGGGCGAACATGTTGGGCCGGGAAACCATCAACCTCCTTTGGGGGCATGCGACCGAATCACGGGCATACCTTCACAAGCTGGAGAGGGAACTTGGCAAGGCCAAAACTTTAGCTTCTTGGCAGCAACTTCCTTCCGTAGTTGATCAAATACACTGACACAACTAATTATACTATATGTACTTTATATCTGGATAAAATCTAGGGCTGCACAGATGCGATTCCGAAGGGTAGCTACTTGATGCTGGTTGTAATTCCGCGAGGTTGTCGTGTTGATCAATTTCCTCACTGTCTCCCAGAAGATTTGGTTTTAAGTCTCGTTCGTTCAGAGTTCCAATGTATTCCGCATCTTGAAGCGAGCGCTGAGCGCATGTTCAATATGTTCCTCATTGCCATCAGGTTGTTTTTTCCCCTACACACACCACGATGCTGAGCCTAGGGAACAAAACGTGAGCTCACAGCAAAGATCAAAGAAGCCAAATCAGCGATTGATCTGACCGTTGACATTGCCCAGCGACTCTCGGCAAGCCAGGTAAGGTAAGGCTTTTGTGAAGCCCAAGAGGGGTCCGAATGCCAAGAAGCGTCTCTCTCCCACAAGGGTGCCTGGAATACACTAGATGGTCACAGTTTTTGAGGGATACCTCTGTTTCAGCGACCTCTTTGGAGCTTCCAGTTGGTTGATGTTTGTTTGATCACGATGTCAGTTGCAGGGGGTTCAACAATTGCCTGCGGCTCCGCAGCGCAAAACGAATCCATAAGCACACTGTATTTTATCGTAAAAGTCTTGTAAGAGCCGATGTGTCGGATGCCTTTGCAATAGTACAACTTGTTTAGAGTACTGGCCATTTTTGGAAAGCTGGCGGGCCGATTTGGTTTTTAGGTAGCCTCATAGCAGAGATAGAAGCAGAAGTAGAGGCCGCCTTGTTGAAGTCTGAAAAGCTTTTGATCTCTTCTCGTCGCTCAGTCCAGCTCCACCGTGTATTTTCTACTCATGTCCTCCCACCACCAACCCGTACCTCGTTTCCCAGAGAACTCTGAATATCCGCTTCGTGACCCACATTGAGCCCGGTACTTTAACTCTCACTCGAAGCTGTCCACAAATCTCATCCTCTCCCACAGGGCTGATGATGTTTTTTATTTTTTTCTGGCTGATGGAGCATGTCAGTGAGAGTTCATTTCCCAACTGGTACTCTCATGCAATCTTATCCCACACCTTCTTTCTTACCGCACTGGCCTCTCCTCTTCTCCAGCACCCAACCGGACAACAGACTATTCAAAGATTTTTAGCCTGCTTCGACACTCCCAGAAGGAATCCTCGCCAAGATGGGTAGAATAGAAGCAAGCCCAACCTTGCAGACAGTACTTAGCTCAGGACTGAGATTGGATTCTGCCTTAGTGATTAGAACCTTGGGGATGGAGTTGACCATGGCACAATTCACCGCAATCGCATCCCTGGCGTCTACTGCGCTGATCTACGCCTTCAACAACCGGCATGTCATCGAAAAGAAACTCGAGGCATTTGCATTTTGAGCAGCAACTAAATTCCTGAGTAGTGTTGCCATGCATTTTGCACGGAATGCAGCGAAGTGTCCAGAAGTATCGTGAGTACTCTGAGCGCATCGTCTCCGTTTGTCGTTTGTGAGTCAATCAGGCCTTGATCAGGCAGGAGGTTGTTAGCCTAGCTTTTTTGTCCTTGGAAGTCAGGAAAGAATGCTCCTGGAGTTGCAACACATTTTGGCAGTTGTGTTTTACAGGTTTGAGACTCACAGGCAACACGGACAGGCTTTGCCAGACGGGAACACATCTCAAGCAAAGATCCACCTTTCCGCCATGCTCGTTTAAATCATTACTTGGATTTTTCTAAGAGACCACACTCATTCCTCCATGTTGCAGATAGATACCCATTTTCTTGTTTGGTTCTGTCTAACGCTAGCCCTTACCTAGGTGGTGGGTGGTTTAGAGAGCATTTGGCCAGATGATGTGGACTTTTGCTTGGGGAAGAGGATGAGCTGCATCAAGGCATCACTTTATCCTCGGTTTTGCTGGCTTATGTGATGGGCTTTCATGAACGTCAAAAGCCCGTTTGTCGGTAGTGTTGCTATGAAGACGGTCAATTTGGCCAAAGTTCTTCAATGCTGAAGAACAAGTCGAATCAAACGGGCTCATTCGTGGATCCCCATTACAATCAATCTTTCCTTGTCGTGTCACGATTCTCATAGAATCCTTGGCATACAAAAAGTTGGATCCACAGATGGCTCACTTCCGGCGGAGAAAGCCGGCTATCAGGTATATAACAGGTACGCATTTGATTTGTTGGTGGTGCGTCGCTTCATGCCTTTTGTTCATGATCAAGCGAATCAAGCAGTTGCGCCAAGGTCTGTCACTGTCACTGAGCTGAAACCTTGCCGGCGCGCAAGCTGCAGGCTGCCCTTGAGCCCTTAAGCAAGCTTTCCAAAAAGATCTCTCTCGTCTAAAACAGACACACAGACATATACAACAGGGCGATCGTCGATTTACCTTGTGTGTATTTGTGGATGCCATTCTGACATCCTCCGTGCTTGGCCCTCTATAAAATGACGATCATTTGACACTATAAATAAAATGCTTTTTGGAGCCTCATTTTGTAGAGAGTGATCCGTAAGCTTTGACAGCATTCTATAGAGCTGGCTTCTGTCTGTGTTGGTGGCCTCTCTTGGCATGCCTGTGAACCATTGCCAAGCATTTTATAGAGGAGTGGAGAGCTGCCGCATGCACTTTGCTTATGTGGTGCTAAAGATCTGGGTTGGCGTTTTATAGTATTTATGTTGTGAGAACATTTGGACCTAACAAAGCATTTTGTATTAATAGAGAATTTAGGGGTTGACAGTTGACATGTGTGACAGCACTCAGCAACTAGCAGTAACTAGCAACTAGCGTTCAGCACGCGCCACATAGCACTCAATCACAAGGGAATAGCGTGATCTTGAAGATTTTTACCAAATAGCATTCAGCAACTATCTAGCAAATATCCTGCAAGTTCCTTACCCTTCCCCAAATTTCCTTGAATCTTCGCAAATTGCCTTAAAATCCCAATCGCTCAAGCAAAGAAACAAAAAGAAGGAAAGATATATACGGTTGTTAATAATTATACGTATGTGGATGTTTTAAAGATCACCCTGTGTACCTTTGTGGTTTGCCCTGTGTCTCTGCTGTTCCCCAAGCGGGGGAGCTCTAGAACTCTGAACGGAGTCTTGGAAGTAGTCTCTTCGAGCCGTCCCCCGTTGTTGCCACCTTTGGAGCTCGATATCTACATCTTAATTACTATAGTCAGGTCTCGATGTATGTTTAACTGGTTTTTCACATCCAACTTTTTTGTTTCGTTGATATGGTTTTTCATTTTGTAGTAGTCTATGTGTTTTGCTACTGAGATCTGGTTCTATCTTTTTTATAGAGGATCGCTTGTCCATCCCTCAACTGATCTCTTACTACTGCATTCTATAGAAACACTCTGGCCAGTCACTGTATAGAGTTCTTTTTTTCTCTTACCCACTCTATAAATTGCCTGGCAAGTGAAGTGATCCCAGCGGTAAAGCATGGAGGATATGAAAAAACGACTGCGCTTGTTTTGTGCCCGCTGGGCTTTCCAGACTTTGTCTCACTCCTGCAACCTTTGCTGTCGGGCGATTGCGCCGGGGGGGTATGATCGGAGAGTTCTTTTCATGTGATTTCTGGGCTAGCTGCTGTTTTGGCTTGACTTGATAGGTTGTAATATCATATTCTATACACCTGCCAGTTGCCATGGCTGGAACAACTTGCTTGTTTTCATGGATCCCAGATGGTCTGCGGTCTGCTTCAACGTGGACAGGTTTTATGGCCGTTCTGCGCCTCTAATCCACCTTCCTGCACGGCGCCCTGCTGAAGGTGAGGGATCTGAGGGCGCTGATGATGCAGTCAGGGTCAGAGTCCATTTCATGCACATGTGCAGTTCAATAGTTCCCCAATAGCGTATATAGCTTCAGGTTGTACACTCTTTAGGCGGTTGGGCGCCGTCGGATCCACGGCCCGGCCCGGTGTCTCGGTATTGTTTAGGTGGTACTTGCATCATATTTCGGTGGTATCTGGGTCATGTTGTGGCAGTGTCTCGGTCATGTTTGGCTGGTGCCCCGGTCGTGTTTGGGTGGTGTCTCGGTGTTTGGGTGGTGTTTTGCTCATGTTTGGGTGGCGTGCCGGCTTTGCTTTGTTTTGGTGGTGTATGGGTTCTATTTTTGGGGGTGGTTTGCTGATGTTTTTGTGTTGTCCCGCTTATATAGCGTCTCGGTCTCGGTCTCAGTCTGTGCGTGTATTATCTGTGCGCTTGCATGTCCATACACCTGGTGTGCATTCTGCGCCGGTGCTCGAAAAAACATACTGCACGTGAAAAAGCTGATTTGACATGCAAAAAACTGCCTCGCTTTGGAAGAACGTACGTGGAATCCGTGGTTTAGTTTTTGTATGAACTATTAGTTGGCAGGTGTATGCATGTTCTGCTGATGTAGATGTTTGTTGTTGTGCTGCCTTTTGCAAAGCGTGATAATTCTTTTCAACAGGCAGCGGACAACAAACAGCACTGCATTCTTTGCACCTGTCGTGTATAAATAATGCCTCCGCGCTTGATGGTCTTTTCCTTTGGTAGCAGTATATACATGTTTGTCATATTGTTCATGATGATCCCTTATGATATCCTTTTTTTACCGTCTCATCTTTGCTAACAACACCTGCTATTCATAGACCACAAAGCACCTAAGGCAAAATTGTTCAGTGTCCATTTCCCATAGCCAACATTTATGTGCGAGTGCCCGCACACCTATTTTTGCATCTGACAAACACACACACACACACACCACAAGAGTTCAATCGCCAGCGGACAATATATGCCAAAAACGTCGCACCAAGCACGAAAGGTTTTTAGACCCGACTTTGGATAGTGAAGTTGTTTTGGTAAGTACGTTTTGTGATAGCATGTCAAAAAGAATGGTGTTGGTTGAGAATTGTTTTCGACATGTAAAGCACTGCTTGCTTGGCCCTGCGTTTCTTGTATCGTTCTTGTGTATATGAGTCATGCGTTGGCACATACATGTACGTACAGTCATTGCTTACTGTTGTACAACATCCTCTTTGTTTTTGCCTTTATTTTTCTGCGTGCTTTTGTATAAACTATGCGCTTGCATGTCCAAAGGTGTGTCGTCCCTGGCGCAAAGACTCAAAGTATGTCCTGTTTGACAGCTGCATTCATTGCACCTTTCGTGTATAAATTACGTGCTCGTCCTTCAATACATGTTCTCCGTCGGTGAGAACATTTTCCTGGCGCTTGTATGAACTTATGTCCTTGTCGTTTTCTGTCCGGATAGGAATTACGCACCCATAGATATATAAACATCCATCTTCCTTAGTGTGAATCTTTTGTTGTGATAATTATACTTTTGTGATTTTCACAACTGTCCTCCATATTCGGTGTGTGAAAGAACAGCAGAACGAACCACAGACGAAAAAAAATGACGCAAGATCTTGATTGGATGCTATGCTATTGGGGTTGTCAGTTGGGTCCACAATTTGACAATTGGAGTGGCAGATTGAACAAACAGCTTGCATGTACTGTACAGAATGGCCAGCTAACCTGTATGTAGTTGGTGTTGAAAGGTTTTGTGTTGTTGAGCAGGGAGGGGCTGAGACGAGGATTCAGCGGCAGTTCTTTTGGCCAGCCATGCCTGGCGGGTCAAACTCACATGCCCAAAGTGCTGCCAACCTCAGTCGGTTAGACATTCAGAACCCCAACATGCTGCACATAGTGATAATTTGTGAGGTGACAATGTCTCCAAACATGTCATTTTTGCGACGTGATCTACTGCGTTTCGGGTGACTCGCAAGGCGCACAGCAAAGCGCCCCATTTGCATGGATGAAGAGAAACAAATGAGCCGTTGTCGTGATGGGTGGGGTGGTTAGGGAGAAGTAAGTGTGTCAGAAGCAGAGGTGAGTTGATATCGTTTCCATCCAGTCCAGAAGTTGTAGAGTTTTGTGGATAATTAGTGGCTTGAGTATGACATGTGAGTGACATTGTGTGACAATTCTGCTATATGACCCACGCTCGCTCCAAGAAATATTCAATTCCTGTCTAGTCAAGCTAGTTCTCGCTCAGTTTGCTCAGTGTTGCAGTTTTACCCAATCGTCCAGGTGCTGAAGCTTCAGCTTAGGTGTGTTCCACTCAGTCCACCAGTCCACTGCAGCGTGTGGCTCGGGGCGACTTGGGGCAACACCCCAGCGCTGAGACTTGCGCGGTGCCTGGACGTCCGGAGGTGCAGAGCACGCAAGCACGTCGCGTCGGTCATGACTCAACGCGACATGGGCTTGAACAACAGTTCTATCACAAAGGACCCTTGGGTCCTCAGATGTCCCACGTGAGCTTTGAACAACAGTCCAGCAACCTTTTTGGGTTTGGAAGTCCTTTTGAGTCGAGTGCCAAAGGCTGAAGCAGTTCTTCAAGAATCGGACTGTTGAGTTGGATTTTGAACCAACGAATCCTTCGTCTTGGACCTATCATCATCTCATGCTTTTCATTCCTTTTGTTTGTATTTCGGGTGCATCGGTCCATGGAGCTACTTCCAGGATCGGTCCATGGAGCTACTTCCAGGAACTCAGTTGTATGTTTTGTAGGGCCTTTCCGGATTGGGAAGGCAGAGGTGAGGTATCTATATCTCTCTCTGATCAGGCTATTTTCTGCATGTTTGGCAGATGTCGAACATTTTACACGTGTTCTTACTCCCGGTCCCGGAGATCGGTCTCATGTCAGGTTCGAGCATGAGCAGCTAAACTTCTCAGTGATACATGCCCAAAGTGAACATGTTTCAAACCTTTGCTGGGAGAATTGATTTCAATTCTGACCTGCCGCATAGTGCAAGCACAAGGTAGCTGGGGGTTAGAACTTGGATCCCCCAAAAGACACCCCACGGCCCTGGGCAGGGTCGCGATGGTGCGGGGCCTTCTGCGAAGGCCAGGATGGCTTGAGCAGGTCCGGTTGCGAACGGGAGGACAACCTTTGCATCGGTATCACAAGAACGAGCCCTTCTGCTGGCGAGGTCTCAGAAGTCACCTGAAATCCACAAAAAACTGAGGAAACAGGGGTAGAAGTCAAATACAGGACCAACGGGAGGCTATATGAGACACTGGGATTGTAGAACCAGTGGAGCTTAGAAGCTATTGTTTTTGTTTCCGCCGGGTCTTTCACGTTCTTTCACTTTGTAAGCCCCTAAGCAAGATGTATATAGATTCCTTCTGCAGCTGAGGGCTGCACGAAGGGATCAGTGCGGCCAGTGTGCCTGAGGACTCGAAACGTAATATTCACAATTGCAAGGTTTCATGCTTTGATGCATCGTATACGAGTAATCAACAATCATGTGTTGTATTCTTCAAGTCTTCTTGCAGGGAAGGTACAGCCACATGTGGGGCTTCTCGATCCGGGATGCTTTCCAAAGTCCAAGAGCATCGTTGAAGTGGTAGCTAGGTGCGGGATTGGTCCCGGTGATCCTTGTGCAACTTGAACAACAGATGTTCTGGATTCCAGGTTTCGTTCATGGGGTACATGGAAATCAAGTGGATTGAATTCATGAGAGAATACACCTCTCACAGCCCTTGACCTTGACTGGCAGGGAGGTACTCAGTAGTGACGTGAAAGGTGGATCAGCGCGCAAGGGACACGCCGACCTCCAGCTCAAGCCTACAGCAGTCTTTGGGAAACCTTCGCTGCTTTGGGTCTTTTCTTGTAAGCTCTGGAGCCAAGTTTACCACAAACAGCTCAGCTAGCTGTTATGTAAAGCTAACATCCAATAACTACCAAAAAAAGCACGTCTTTTGTATGATGCTCAGATCAATGAGGTTTGATCCAATGTTCTCTAAGTGTGGAGAAGATTCTGAGATGGACCATAAAGGTAACAAAACCCTTATATAGACCGACCAAGATCGCAACCCTGCTACTTAAGCCTTAAGCACGAGTCATGCATGTGTGAAACCAACATACAATTAGAAAAACAAACTTCGAAAGGTCTGTCCTTCCGATCTTTTCGCCGGTAGCTCCATGGCGTGCCACGTTCAAAGATCTGATCACCGTTTCGTTCGACAGCCTGGACCTCTGTATCACCTGATTCCGTCAGGTCAGACTCAGGCTCAGCTGGCACAGTGCGCACAACCACACTGGCACCCCCATGGACCGAGGCCAGCGCACATCGCTGCGTGAAGCAAGCGCTCTTTGTGTGCCATTGCCTCCTCAGCGAGTGCCTTCTTCTTGAAAGGGTGTGGATATGTGGGTGTGGGTGTGTGTGAAGAGCATGCTGCCCAAGGGCCAACATTTTGCAGAGCATGGCATGATACAAGCTCGATCAAGCGCTCAAGCAATGCTGCGCTAAATTCGAGGGTTGGCAAGCGAAAGGCCCGAGAAACAGCATCATTGACCTGACAAGTCTAATGACTACTGTTTTTGCACATTGATTATCATTGATTGGGTCTGAAAATCCCTTATCATGATACCAAATCCTACTCCCCATAGGCCGTTGATCGCCTGAACAATGATGACGGCGACGACAATGACGACCAGGACCACAACAGTGACAACAGCCGCTGCCGCCACCACCACCACCACCGCGATGACAACAACAACAACAACAACAACAACAACAACAACAACAACAACACTAACACCAACACCAACACCAACACCAACACCAACACCAACACCAACAAGAAGAACAGCTACTACAACATGGGTTCTCAAGTCCAGGCACCAACCAGACTTGGTTGGCCTGCTTTCGGGGCTGCTAACAGTTAACACCCATCAAATCCCCAAAGACAGCCATCGCTGTAGATCCTGATCTTAAGAGCCAAAGCGACGCCAAATGATTCGAATTTGCGCTGCCAAGGTGCACCGAGTGTCTTCAACTTTGCCGCGAGCCTGAGGACCCAACGATTTCAGGGCGGACTTCGTACCGGGTTCCTTCGTCGTATCTGGGAACTTTGGAACCTGAAGAAGGCTTGCGGGCTTGCAATACAGAATGACTGACCTTAATAATATACCAGGACATGGCTCCAGGCTTGGTCAAGAGAATTCTGGTTCACGGCATCCTTGGATGCACGTGGCTAATGTTTTAATTCTATACGCTAGAAGTAGTTCTTCCCAACATAGTGATAATTGCACCTTTGAGCTGGTTTCTGAATGGTGAACCCGATGTTGCTTGCGTACAGTGAAGCTGCAGTAGTGCTCAGCAATGCTGCCAAAGGTAAGTGAACCTTCTGAACGACTGGTTTCCAGTTTCTGAATTCCATCAGTCTGGTTCTGAGCTTGCCATGCAGGGCCAGCGCAGATTTTTCTCCTACCAATCAAGGCCCTGGCTCGTCAAGGTTTGACTCGTTTGACTTGGCCAGTGCAAGTGTTGGTGTTGATGTAAACAAATCATGATTCAAGAGATATCGAAACAAATACCTGAAACATCCTGAAACTGGTTTCAAGAGACTTATTCCTTCATTCTGCACCCTGATGGAGTTTTGAAGACGGCCAGCAAGCAGAGCACGTTGAGAGACCATTTTTGCACTGTCGCCAAGTTGTCATCACGTGCCTTGTGAGTTTTTGTGATGTCATCGGGCAGCACAAGAGAATCAGCTCTCCAATATCTCTCGTTGACAGCATGATCAGTAAATCGCCCCAAGGTGTTCAGGAGTTCAGTGATTCCAGGGTCTCAGCCGGCCATTGATGAAATGGCCGAGTGCCCTGATTGCATTTTCTTGGCCAAGTATTGATCGAGGTGCCTTCCACACTCAAATATGCAGTCATTGCAGCAGTTGCAGCAGTCAAGACACCCACTGAAACAGACAGCTTCAGACTGGAGGGATCCTAGACCTGAACCTCTCTCTTCTTTTGCTTGAGAATCTTGAATCTTGATGGATGGTTGATTGATGATTGGATCTCAGTTCATCATTCATGAATTTCATGCTTTGTGAACTTGGTTCCAACTGCTTCTGGTCGATTCTTCCTGGCCTACTGAGACGGTTTGCTGCCCGAGGCTCACCAGAACGGAGCTGAGCCCTTCTTCGGTGCGGACGGACTCAGCCCTCAGGAGCCTCACTGCAAAGACAATAGTTTGATGATGCTCACTGTTTTCGTTCTCGCCTCTCGAGTTGTTGAAAGTCACATTTGAGGGTCGAGCAACTTTGTGGAAATGTCCCTTTGGAAGATCTTTTTGAATGTTTGCATAGCGAGGACGCATGTGAGATGACCGAGTGTTTGGTCACTGCTTTCATTGGTGATAGTTCCATGGAGAGAAGACAATGTTTGACCACAAACATGGTAGATGACTGATTGAAAAGCCTAGTACATACTAACATGCCCAGCTTCAGGTACATGTGAAAAATGCACAAGTCTGATTTGTCGATCGGGGAGTGAAGTCTCGAACCTACACGCGCACATCCAAGATCGGGAGTTTTGCCATGCAATTCTTAGGCGGAAATTCACACAAGGAAACATCAGGGAACGGTGAATTTTCCTTGTGTGGAAGTTGGGGAATGACACCAAATTTGATGATTGATACGTCGTTCACAGTTGACAGTGCTAGATGCAAAGGGGAAAACCTTTGGAGGTGTGCACCTTTATGATGAGCAGATTGGTGGTCTTGGGCAAGGTACAAATCTCTCACAAGAAACAGAAGAGCGAATGGAAAAAGGGAGAAAAAAGAGAAGAGAAGAGAAGAGAAGAGAACTCCAATTGAGACTCAGACAGGTTCATTGCCGGGGCAGGATAACAATGACACTAGCTGCCATCTAAATTAAAGGCTACTCAGTTTTGTTTGATAATAGTTCCTAGACATCCATCTCTTGAACTTGAGACTATCAAAAAAGGCAGAAGAGGAACGGACATGAAAGAAAGGAAAGGACACAAAGCGAAAGGACGATAAGAAAAGAGACAAATTCTGGATATGGGTCATGGGAGAGGGAAACCGCTGTTGTATGTTCTTGCAATAGTGTAATTATATAGATGCTGCGGGGACATGCTAAGGCTAGTTGAATTTGAGCAGGTTGTCTGACAGATCTCTCATCGCAAAAGAATCCTGTAGTTTTAAGTTAGCCACTGACCGTGCTTGATTCTCTCTGTGCAGACAACAACTTATCACTTATCACTGTACCTGGTTTACCTATAAATTGATTTTATCGAAGATTGCTGCTCTTCCAGATGTTCATTCACATTTCCTTTGGATTATCAACTGTTCTTTTCTCACTCAGCTCAGGACGAGCGCCCAATTCTCCCTCTCCTCGGACTTGCACATGGTGCATTTCTTTTGATTGTGTGTGGTGTCCTCACACTTCATCCTTCAGTGTGCCTTTGCTTGGCACACGTGACCTAGCAGTGACGAGCGACAAGCAGTGACTGCAGGGTTTCTGAGGGTGTGCCGGCCTAGGCCTTGACTGTGGGATGATTGGAACATGGGCATCAGCTCACCGGGAAGTAAAAAAAATCTGCCGCTCTGAGGCTGTTTTTTTGCAGTCCTACCCCTTCCGTTCTCTCAGCATAGGCCGATTAAACTTAAGCCTCGTAGCAGTCAAGAGGGCAATGTTGCATTCCATGATCCAGGTTTCTTGCATATAGAGTTTCATAAGGGTAAGATGCTCTGAAGCTTTTCTTGCTTCACGCTCCCAGGCAAGATGGTATGTGTGTGTGTGTGTGCCGGACCACTAAAGACTTTCACATTGCAGCTCATTTTATTTTTTCTGCTTTGCAGTGAGTTGACCCGATTGTGACTCGTTGATGTGATCAGGGTTGTTTCAGAATTGAAGTGTTGGAAGTCTCTTTGATATTCCCTTGAACGTTGCCAAGAACTGGTGATCAACTTTCATGAAGCCAGTAGCGTTCCAGGTCAGAGTCCAATCTGCATCTCATCTCTTACCCCTCATGACGGTCAGCAATGCGCTTAAGCAAACCTGGTGTTGCAGAATTTCCGACAGGGTTTTAGTAA